AGGTGGGAGGGTGAAGTTCATTGGGCTATCCAAGTTTTATAAAATCTATTTTCAATATATTTTATTCACGATATATGTTATCAATTTCAATTTTATTTATAATATAATATTTTGGTCATGTTTATTTAATTTATTAATGCCATTCAGTATCCATTTGCAATCCCAATTCAATTCAAATCTAAAATAAATCAGATGTATAAGATTCAAATTTAAATCTACCTTATATTTGCTTCAAACCAATCCATTTGCAGCTCTACTTAAAAGAACAATCTAAAAAAGAACCTTCCGACACAAGAGGCTATACATCTCATAGGGAAGGGCTGTACTATCCTATGTCTTATATGGAGATCCAGAATTACCTGATTTTCAATCACAAGAAAACCACCCCAAGGGATGCAAAAAGGAACACTCTTGCCACACTTCACATTGATGGGTCGTATGACTTGCTATCAGGTCTTGCAGGATGAGCTTTCATCATCAAATGCACCGGCAGAGTTACAGTTCTTGCTGAAGGAGAACCATGTTGGGCCATCGACAGTTATGATGCGGATCTCCGAGCCTTAATCCAAGGGCTCAGAGCAGCCAGCCAACTCAAAATATCTAGGATCATGATATACAGTGACTCATCGCAGCTGATAGACTTTTTGCAGGATAAAAGTCAACTAAAGAAGTGGATAAACCAGTTACACTGTGCACAACTGTCAAGACTTTTATCTACTTTTGAATAAATAGAGTTTGTACGTATAAACAGAAACTACAACAAGGCTGCTCATACACTAGCCTACCTGGCATTTGCATGCCAGGTTAAAATAACTTACAACCCACTGCTATCTCCATCTATATAGTTCAGTTTAACTTAATGAAGTGTTGGTTGCTTCCTTTTACCAAAAAAAAAAACATTTCAAACCAATGTTAGGAAAATTGGACCAGATTAGTCAGTCGAACAGGTAAAAGCATGACCTGGGGAACCTAGATTTCCTACATTCTCTACCTACAAGACCCTGCCCACAGTACACTGCAGCCGCACATCTCACAATGTAAGTGGCAATGTGTGGCTACAATTCAAGGTGGGTAGGTGTGAGTAGAGTAATGGGTAGGAAATCCAGTTTGTGACCTAGGCCCCCAGGTTCAGTCATACCCCTAAAACTGTTATTGCCAAAAAACAGCTATAACTGTCTAGTATATGTTTGACATCGATGCTATAGATGTAGCACCAAATGGTGCTGCTGATGTATGGGTTGGAAGCACCGTTTTCTCAGAAAATGGTGCCTTTTTTTGGAATCGTTGTTGCCAGGTAAGACGTTTCTTGGAGCGACAACAACTTTTTCTGTTTGGTGCCAGTGTTCCAGGAAACGTTTTTTGCATTTCTACCCATTATCCACTGCCACATCACTGCCCTGTTGGCAGTAACGAGCTACAGCTCTAGGAAATGCCAAATTTGGCGTTGCTCCAAGCCATGCCTTCCCAATTTCCAAGACATGGTTTGGAGCACCATTTTCTATGGAAAAACGGTTACAAACAGATGGTTGTTTCCTAGAGCACCATTTTTTCCTACATGGCGCTGATGTGGCACCGTTTTTTGGAGCAACAGCAACGATGCCAAACAAACGCCTAGTGTCCAGCAACTGGTCCAACTTGGGAACCAGTGGCCTCACCCAGTTTATGTAACCGTTGTCAATTTTTTCTTTTACCTATATGTAAATTTCAAAAGGCCATAACTTTATACTCAGGTGTGTAATGGAGGTGATATTTTTTTGTTTTAGGTAACTTTTTATATATATTCCAAGGTGGTGTTAAATGCCTCACTATTTTGTCAAAAAAATTTCCTTTTTTTGTCTCAAATCTTAATTCTTGTATAAAACCATATGCTATAATAGAATATAATTATGTATTTTGTGTGTATATATATATGTATATAATTAATATTGTTATATATTATATAATTATACATATTACATTATTATATATTGTATATATTATATAATATTTTTTATTTATTATGTCACTATGGTTAGACCTCTCGCTAAACCTGGATTGAAATTCTTCTGGTTTGATGTGCGATCAAATTCTCTGAACATCGACCAAAACACTAACGGTTCTAAGTCTAATACTTTTGACTGATAGTATGAAACACTTTTTTTTTATGGAAACTGAAATGTGCTACACAAGCCGGGGGTAGCACGTCCCCATAAGTCTGCAAAACAAATGAGAGACAAATTAGAGGGAAGATTAGAGGGGTCAAGAGAGAGGGAATCCCCCGAGTTCTCTAGTGCTAAGTGAGCTAAAAGATCTATCGCTTGATTTACCTCCCGGAAGACATGGTGGTAAGAAATCCACAGGTTAAAGCATCCACGAGCTCCTTATATCTAGAAATTATGCTCCTTAAACGCCATGGGAGGAAGTGGACTGCTAAAGACAAGAAATTACTAGTTTCAAGTTGCCTTCGATGATGATGGGGGTATCTTTGAAGTTAAGTGCAAAATTATGTGCTTCCCAAGCAGTCTAAGCCTCAGCAACGTTGATGGTGGTGTAGCCCAAGCCTCAGCAAGGTTGAAGTTAAGAGCTAGTCTCTGGCAATGCTTGCAAATAGAACAACTTTCATCCACATAGGAGGCGTCAAAATAATTTTAATGGATCCCATCTTGGGGCTCTTCCAAATGACTTGCCTCCATGATTTGGTAGGTTTATCAATTTGCTTAGAATGAGTACTACTCCAGAAGTCATTTAAATGTTCAAGGGCCCTCTTAATGGCCAAAGAGGGAGGAGTTGAAATATTAGAGAAAGTTTTTTGATTTCTGTATTTCCACAAAACCCAAAGCATAAGGGCATTTTTTTTCAAGATTAAGTTTTCATCTCTGCCTTATTATTGGGTAGAAAATTATCATCGGTTCAACAACCTGCTGAATAGCCATCGCATCCAATTAATAGTTCTTGGATGAAAAATTAGGGATGGCAAAAAAGCGGATTTTGTAAATTATAGATCCTATCCATTTCCTTAAACCTCCCAACCCATATCCATCCTAAAACCCTTAATGGGTTGGATTTTGATAATCCAAATCCTTCCCATACATTAAAATGCAAAACCCTCTCCACATTCAAGGGTAGCAGCAGGTTGGATTTAGAACCCGAATCTAATTTCGTATCATTTCTTGTCTTATATATGCAATAAATAAGTAAGATAACACAAACAACAAAATTTGCATTTATTTGATTAAGACATATAGAAAACACATAAACTATCAATTATTCTTCACATAAAATTCAATATATTATTAAATTCAACATTGTACACGAAGTTTATATGCTTCCCAACAATATATGGATCATGGAGGACCGAGTTTAGCCTAATATTGTACCCTATCCATACCCATCAAGATTGTAGAATCCCAAAACCCATCTGTGTCCCAAAACATGTCCTTCAAGCAAAAAAAAAAGAAAAAAAAAACACCCCCATCAGAGAGGGTATGGGCAGATACCCATCGGATAGGGTAGAAATTTTCATCCTTTCAAAAACGTTGTTTTCCTTTAGCCGATTGGAAGTGCACGAGTGCTGCAAAGAGGAAATTACATTGAATCATGGTAGGGATGCAAACGGATTGGATCGGATTCAAATAAGGGTATATTCGAATATGATCCAACACTGTTCATGTCGGGTCCGATTGGATATGATAAGACTCGATTTGAATTCAAATCCTATCGGTAATTCAGATATTCGGATATGGTCCGACCTGACTTGTTTCTTTAAATATTAATAAATTATTAAAAGAAAATAAAATATACTAATTTAAATAAAGTAAAAACAAAAAATATAAGTATTTTTAATTATTTTCATCATATATAATTACATATATACATGTTTTTTATAATAAACAAATAATATAATAAATTTATAAAAATATATTTATAAATAAATAACATATATATATATGTATTTATATATTTATATTTATAAATATATAATATACATCAATCGGATTAGGGGTGATCCGAAACGATATGATCCAATTGCACCCCTAAACCATGGTACCTTTGGTTCAAATCGAAGCTATAGAACGATTGGCGTTTACATTCTCACTATATGATCATGACATATTGGCAGCCCAATTGGGTCAATTCAAAGCCATCTAACCACTTGACACGAACCTAATACCCAATGGTGTGGGAACTGCTTATGCTGTTTGAAAATCTAAATCCTCTCTCCTCTCTCTTCCCATCAATTGCCTCTACTTAACACACCCGACTCAGTAACTCTGTTTCTGCAATTTTGCATCCTTGGAGGAACACCGATAGCTCGCTCCTTTGTTGCTTTCAGCAGAAATTAAAACGTGCAAAAACCCCAATTCTATGATTTTCTTTCTCAAGATTAGTCTGCCTTTTCGTGGATCATGAATCGAATTTCTCATTTCCCTCTGCCCGCTGAGAAAAGCCTCCTTGGCCAAGACAGAATGAAATCTTCGTCTTTTTCCCCGATGCTTCTGTGGTCTCTGTTCATCTTTTTCGTTTTCCTGTCACCGTCTTTATCCTTGCCTTTCTCTCCGCCCGGGAACGTTACCCTCTTCGGCGATGCTCATTTCAGGAACAACACCATTAGTCTCACACAAGAACCACCCTGCAGCCCTTTTTATCCTTCTTGTGGGGTTGGAAGAGCTCTCTACGCTTACCCAATTCGATTTCTTGATCCCACAACAAACTCTGTTGCGTCCTTTACGTCTACCTTCTCCTTCTCGATCACTCCGTCTTTTTCTTCTCTTCCCGGAGACGGTCTCGCATTCCTTATAACCTCCAATGTCGATACTGGCTGCAGCTCCGCCGGCTATATGGGTCTCACCCAGTGCAACAAAAACCAAGGAGAGCCGTTCATCGCTGTGGAATTCGATACCAGTCTAGATTCATCTCTCGGCGACCTCAATGACAACCATGTGGGTCTCGACATTAACACGGTTGCTTCTTTCGCTTCCGTCGATGTGGGTTCGATTGGGATTGATCTCAAGAGCGGGAGGCGCATCAGAGCTTGGGTCGATTACAAAGACGCAGAGAAGATGATCAGGATTTGGGTCGGCTATTCAAGGGTCAGGCCTCCTAATCCGCTTCTCACCTCCCAGGTGGATCTTTCAAGGCAGTACAAAGAGTTCATGCACGTTGGCTTCTCTGCTTCAAATGGACGAGGGTCGGCGCTTCACCTGGTCGAACAGTGGGAATTCAGAACATCGGGGCTTGTTCGTCCGAAGACGATGCCATTGGAATCGGATACAAGTCAAGACAGCGCTTGTTTCACATGTAATTCTGCAGATGATTCAGATGACAACAATGGGTCCCCCAATGTCCATCGAAGAAGACGAATGATCACGGACATAGCTCTTGGTCTAGGTGGAGCAGTTGGGTTTCTCTTCTCCATGGGAGTGACCATCGGCGCAATAATTTGGTATGTCTCGAGAAAGAGGAGAATTGATGGCAGAGGCACGAAAACTCGCGAAATGTGCAGAATTCAAATGAACAAAGTCCCCACAAGGCTGTCACTCGCTAAGATCAAATCTGCCACAAAGGGATTCAAGGAGAGCAGAATCGTCGGCAAAGGTGCCTCCGGCACTGTATACCAAGGGCAACTTGGCTCCGGCAGGACTGTGGCTGTCAAAAGGTTCAGTGGTATCAATCAGGTCGATCGATTTAGAGACCCCTTCACCACCGAGTTGGCTACCATGTTGGGTTGCTTAAGACACAAGAACCTGGTTCAACTCCAAGGCTGGTGCTGTGAGGGGAACGAATTAGTCCTGGTTTATGAGTTCTTACCTCGCGGCAGCCTCGATAAGATCCTCCACAAGAGCTCCAGTTCAGCAGTGGTGCTCAAATTGGACCAAAGACTGAAGATCGTCCTTGGCGTTGCATCTGCACTCACTTACCTACATGAAGAATGCGAGAGACAGATAATCCACAGGGACGTCAAAGCTTGCAACATAATGCTCGATGCAGAGTTCAATGCCAAACTGGGTGATTTCGGTCTAGCAGAGGTTTATGAACACAGCGGCATCACACGAGTAGCGACCATACCAGCTGGGACCATGGGTTATCTCGCACCAGAGTATGTTCATACTGGAATACCCACTGTGAAGACAGATGTCTACAGCTTTGGTGTTGTGGTTCTAGAGGTGGCAACAGGGAGGCAACCGGTGGACGACAATGGGATTGCGCTGACTGATTGGACGTGGGATATGTGGTTGAAGGGGAAACTGATTGAAGCTGTTGATGGTAGATTAGAGGGGCGGTTTGACAAGGCTGTGGTTGAGAGAATGCTCATGGTGGGGATCTCTTGTACTCACCCAAACTCTGTAGAGAGGCCAACAGTGAAGGAGGCAGCCAGGATACTTAGAGGGGAAGCGCCGCTCCCTGTCTTACCCACCAGGAAGCCAGTGTTGAGAATGCAGTCTGCGCTGCCTCAAGGTTATGAAGAAATCCTGCACAGAGATGATGGGAGTGTTGGTTTAAGCGACACGCCATGGTTAACCCCTCGGACGCATATGAGCTAATACCAGCTTCTGCTTCCAATGTGTAATCAAGATATGTTGTTATATGTTGCTCCTGGGAACAAGTTATTAACACAAATTCATATTCATATGGGATTTTGATTGGTTAAAAGTTAAAAAAAAAAAAACACCCCTCTTTAGGTAGTAATGTAGTAAACCTCTCCACGAAAACTTCTCTAGCTTACAATACCTTTTCGAACTGGACCCAAATTGGACCGAACCAAGGAAGAACACGGCTCCGATCTAAAATTTGTGGACCCAAACCTTATTAAATGGGCCGAGTGACTGTATAATGAGGTACTTATTGCCAAATGCCAATTAGGAGGTGAATTAGAGTCGAGCAAAGTCTATTCGAGTTGGATTCACCAAAAAAGTACGAGGCTTGATTTGAGCTAGAGACTTAGCTCAAGTTCAAGTTTGACTCGAATTAAAAGTTGATAAGTTTGAGCTCGGTTCAACTCGAGTTTGACTGTAAATCAATTGTTTTATAAAAATAAAATGATATTTAAAAATTAAGAATTATAATTAGTTATTATTTATATATAACAATAAAAACATTTTATATATACCATTTTTATTTTATATATATTATTTTTCTATGTGTGTGTATGTATACATATATGTAGAAGCTCAATTAGGCTTGCGAGTCTCATGAGCCGAGTTTTATTAGATTCGAGCTTGACTCGATTTGCAAATAAGCCAGTAAATTGGGTTCGAGCTTAGCTCGAAGCTCAATTTAAACTAGGCCAAATTCAAATAGCTTGTGAAAAGCTCGGCTCGTGGCCAATTGCTAACCCGCATTGACCCAGAAGCAAACCAAACCTGAGGGGATTACTTGTGTCGCTACCAAATTTAAGGTAGCAAGTGTGAAATTGACTGCAGTGCTCACACCATTTGCATAGCCTTTAAAGTCATGCACCAGGAATATTTCCATACTTATTTTCATAAGGAGATTCTCAATACACGATTGGAAGGGACTCTGCAAATAGTGTGAGCACTAAAGCCGATTTCAACAGGTGTAGGGATGTAATCGATTGAAATTGGTGTAAATCAAGAACAATGTAAAAGTTTACATCAGTTCAATTTTATTGACGTTTGGAAGAAGTGTAAATGAAGATCAATGTAAAACTCCACTCCGGTTTAGATTTATTAGCATTTGGATGAAGTGGAGTTTTACATCATGAATCGATATAAAACCTTATCAAACATAAAGTTTTACATCAATTGTTGATGTAAATATTACATCGATTTTATCGATGTAAAACTTTATACTTTTTATCATGGTTTTCAAAATGTAACGGTCACCTGTTATACGGTTCAGTGTAAAACGTTATTAGTATATGACGTTTTCCATCAAATCAAATGCACCCTTATCCAAGCTGGATTCATAAAATGCCAAGTCAGTTCAGATTAAGGCTCCCCGCATTTGCTACCGATTCAAATGCGGGATCGGTGCTTTAATGCACTCCGGTTTAGTTTTAAATGTGTTTAATTAAGATTGTAAAACTACATCGTGAATTCACACTCTATCCGTTGTGAATTGTAGTCAACATCTCTATTATGAATTGTGAGATGTGTGGCTGCAATTCACGGCGGAAAGGGTGTGCGTAATTGAACAAAGGCAACGATGATAATCTAACTGACAACGACCAAGAAGGGCATTCTCATAGGCAATGGCTTCGACCAATAAGGAATTTCTTATGGTGCCCAAGAAGGTATCGCCTGTTGGTCAAAGTCAAAGAATCTCTTATTCCAAATTTCAAACTTCTTTACCAATTTTTTGTGCTCTATATGAAAGATATGAAGTAATGGTGATTAATAGGAATGTTAACGGGGTGGGGATCATATTCTTCATCCTTGACTTCGATTTTGGAATAAATCCCTGTATCTGATTCTGATTTTTGTTGGGGTCCTTGGGAATAAAAGTTGTTCTCCATCCCCGATTTTTAACAGAAACGGGTTTTCTGCGGGGACCCGAATTCCTGAAATTCTTTAGTTAATAGTATTTTTTGAAAAATAAAATTACTTAAAATAAATAAAAAAATTAAAATATAAATAATATTGTAAATATATTTTGATAATATAAACAATATCATATATAATAATATATATTTAATATGAATAATATTTAATATATATAATCAGGGTTGAAGCGGGGCAAAGATCTCATTCCCCATTGCCAACTCCAACCCCAGTCAGGAATCCCTATTAATCCCTATCCCCACCCCACCAAAGTAATCTCCATCCTCAACCCAATGGGACCGGAAAAGTTTAATACCTGTCTAAGATGAGAAAAATTGCCATCCCTAGTGATTAATCTGATGAAAAACACCATTTTTCCCTCCCATTTTACAATTCATTGGTGAAGCTATGAAGGTATTGACCTATTCTTCTCCCACTCAAATACCCCATTCCGAGTTGTATTTTTAAAACATTGGCTACAATTATCATTATCGAAGGAATGAAATTTAAGAAACCTATATAAAATTTGTAAAGACTTCCCTACTTTTTTTTCTTTAAACCAAATACAGTGTAAAATGGAGGGAGAGCAGCGGGAGCAGCATTGCATTGAACAGCGTTTTGGTGTCAGAGAATAAAATAACGGACACGGCCGTCGGGAAGACAACTCTCAAAAAATATTGAGACAAAAAGTCATGATTAATTTTGAGAAATCACAACAGTATTGGGTGGTGGGCTCATCAAGTATGATGACTTGTCTTTGTTAGTGAGTTTACATGGAGTGAATCGGCATCATTTACTCTTCCACCCTTGGACTGTGTTTGCAAGGGATGAGTTAAGTTTTGTCAACGTTTGGATAAAATGTAAATTAAGATCGATATTTAGATAGAATGGAGTTTTACATCATAAATTAATATAAAGTAAAGTTTTATATTTATTATCAGTGTAAATAATACATTAATAAAATCGATGTAAAAATTATACATTTTTCGAAACTCAACGGTCAGAAAAGTCCTTCATAGTTCGGTCTGAAACTCCATCAATGAACTTTTACATCGATGAAGTTTTACATCACTTACAAATGAAGTCTTAATTTTAAGTAGTGGACCTGTGTGATGTATCGGATTTGTCAAGAAAATGTGGAGTAACCTAAACTAATAATTATTATAAAGTATAAACAATTAATTTTTATTTTAATAACTAATGTTAATTATTTAATAAAATGATATTTTTCATATTATCCATAGCTTTATTTTATTTCTTTTATATATGATTTTTTGTAAATATTAGAAATATATACAATTGGGTTGTAGTTATAATTAAATTAATCTAAGCCTAGAGAATGTGATATTTTGGGAATTATCACATTGGATTTGTCAAGAAAAACCGTTTGAGGTTTAAGACTTCGGGTTGGGCTTCGATTGATTCTCAATCTAACCCTACTTGCTAAGTTGCTTCCCTAACTCCCTAACAACAATGTGATATTCATAATTAGATTGAATCGTGACTCCGTGAGCACAATCCATCTATGCATTATTTTTGGGTTTTTAATTAATTTTAGATAAAATTTATTAATATTGAACCCAAAAGGAACTATGGGGGATGGGCTACCCCCATTGTATAGCCTAGTGAACCAAAAACATAAAAGATATCGGGTCAGAATTTGATAATGTATTGACAATGTTGTCTGTGTTTGGTTTCGTTTATGTTTTCCATTCAATGTTTGTATTTTATTTGCTTGCAAAACCGAGAAAGATAATAATTACAACCATTTATGACAACTAGGCACCACATCAGCATAATAGTGGAAAATGCCTAATCATTGGGGGAGGTTTTAAGAAATAACTTCTCCAACTAGTAGGTGTGCACCAAAAACGAAGTCACTTTTTGCTATTCTCGATGTGTACCGGAGAGCATGAGAGGAGAATTGCTGAAGTGGCGCCTATGTGACAATGCTTTTTGAATAAACACCCATAGAACCAAACACCCTCTTTATAGGTTGCCTAGCCCAAGCCGATTCACACTTGAAGTATAATAATTTTTGTTTGGACATGGAACAAGGACAAATTTGCCCGTGTTAATTATAAAACTACGATTTTTTATAAACTAAGATTTTTATTTAATTATAGTTTATTAGTGCTGATGTATGAGTTGAAAGTACTGTGTTTTGAGAAAATGGTGTCTTTTTTTTCTTTGGTTTAGAATCGTTGCTGCCATGTAAGATGTTTCTTGGAGCAACAACAATTTTTTTTGTATGATACTAATGTTCCAGAAAACATTTTCAACAATGATACCCATTATCCAATACCACATAACTGCCACCTTATATTTCTATTGGCAGCAACGAGCTGCAGCTCCAGGAAGCGATGGCTTAAAGCACCGCTTTTTATAGAAAAGCGGTTCCAAACAAACGTGGCTAAATAGCCCATGGCTTACATTGCATTAATACTTTTTTGGCATGTGAGAATTATTTTCTGATTCAAACCAAACAATTATACATTATGTGCCAACCTATAGAACTTTGGAACTGTTATTATTTTGGACTCTGTGGAAAATGAGGGATAATTTTGGTTTTAAGCACCGCTTTATTAGTTTACTGAAGTGCTTTTGCCATTTGGTGGGTGAAAATAAGATCTGCTTTAGAGTTATAATCCGAGACGAGCATGGTTTGTTTTTGGCAAAAGCGCTCAAAGCGGGTTCCATCGGTCCATCCATGAGGGTGATGTCTGAAAATCTGTGTTTCTTCTGGTCTTATGCCCAGGATCTCTAATAGGGTGGTTCACACCTTGGTTCATCGAGGCTTTTGGGATCAAGGTGACAAGGATCCTATGAATTCTCTATGCCAAGTTGGGTTTATGAGCTTGGAAATTCTCACCTCGCTAGCATCGCTAAATTGATATGTCTGTATCTTATAAACAGAATTTCAAATTTTTCAAAAAAGGAAAACAAATCTTTTCCATAGAGCTACGGCTGCAAATGGATCGGATCGGATTCGGTAAGGACATTATCCGATCCGATCCATTACGCTGATCCGAATCCGATAA